AAGGGCCACAAAAGAAGAGACCCCCACTTAACACAGCTTGGTTTTCTCAAGCAAGCAAAAGGTGACTGCGAAGTTGAACACTTACTATCGCAGTAGGTGCTGAACATATCCCCGCACGGTGCTGGGACTAGCAGCTGTTTTTGCTCCTAAAGGAAACTCCATCTTGGATAAACTATTTACGAAAGTCACGAACAGAGTTTTTGCCTTCAAACTGACGCCCAGAGAGTAATATCTTGGCACAAATCACTAAAGACGTTTGAACTGGTCGCCAGTTCACGGATTGGGGGAGAAATCGTTATATTTGCAAACGGAAATGATCGTTTGGCCAAAAACACTGTTGATAAGGGCTTGTATAAGCTACCAGCATGAACATTTAACACATGTGAATGCTCCAATGACGGCGGGCTCTAGCCGATTTCGTGCTAGCCCTCTTCCTCGTATGCTGTTTTTTCTGAATTGTACGTTAGTCTGTGAAAANAGTTCACGGATTGGGGGAGAAATCGTTATATTTGCAAACGGAAATGATCGTTTGGCCAAAAACACTGTTGATAAGGGCTTGTATAAGCTACCAGCATGAACATTTAACACATGTGAATGCTCCAATGACGGCGGGCTCTAGCCGATTTCGTGCTAGCCCTCTTCCTCGTATGCTGTTTTTTCTGAATTGTACGTTAGTCTGTGAAAAAGCTGTGACGCTGTCTATAAAATCTCAAAAACACTGTTACGCTTTAAGCTTCCGTCTGGTCTGAAACTCTTGTTAAAGTTTTTTACCGTGCGACCTCTTTAACCTGCATTTGCTGCACACTAACGGAGCACATTGTTCTCACAGTCATATTTCAAAGCACTTGGCAGCCCATGATATCATCATCACCTATGACCAAGCAGTATGGTTTTGGAAAAAAATTCTCCCGTGATACTCAGCTGATTGAAGCAGTTCGTGGCCTGAGCCAAAGCATTCAACTTCGAACCCCACAAAGGTTCGCTCACGGAGTTAGATTTTGCATAGCTTCAACGGTAAGTAAGGCCCAGTTCAGACGTCGTGCTTCTACCATGCCGAACTTAATTGTCATTTAGTTCGACTGTAGCACGGCAGGAAAACAACTTTGATTCAGACGTCGTGCCAGAGTCGAACCAAATTCAGGATTTACTGATGCCTCTTAACAATTCTTCTCCCAACTCCCCGTGGGAACGCAATCTCGCCAAAACACTTACTATAATTTATGAATTTTGTTTAGCGCGGCAGAAGCACGACGTTTGAATCGCTGCCGTGCCAGAGCCGTGTAGCACGGTAGTGCTTGTCGAACTTAATTGCTTGCCGAACTTAATTCAAAAGTTTGATTCAGACGCCGTGCTTCTGTCGTGCTTTTGTCGAACTTAATTCCTGAATTTAGTTCGGGACGGCAGAAGCACGACATCTGAACTGGGCCTAACACATCAAAGCGGATCAAAGCCGTTCTTTCGCATAGATCCCAAGTGGTATCAGTTAACGGAAACTGATACCAGTCGTCTCCCAAAGACGTTCTTTTTGGAGTATCCCAAGGATACATTTTAGGCCCCGTTTTATTTCTGCTATTCAACATATGCCATGTCTACTGATTCCCAATCGAATCTGCTTCTTTTCGCCGACGACTGTGTTGATTTTCCCCTTTAGCAAAAAGGAAATGAAAACAACTGCTACGCAGGCTGCGCCAGAGACTCTTGAACAAAATTGTTTCTTCTTGCTACTTGGTCTTCCCGATGGCAATTATCCTCTAATATATCTCAATTAATTTAATTTAATTTAATTTAATCCATTTTTTATATATTGATAAATATACAGACACAAGTTACCAGCGGGGAAGGACTACAAGGGAACCGAAGAACCATAGGGGCTAGTCCACCCAATTTAAAATTTAGTGTTATCATGTTGGCATTACCCTAAAAAGACAACGGTATTATTACCTTCTCTCTCTAGTTACACCTTACTCTGTCAAAATATTCCATGCGTTGTTTCTATTTCCTCTTCGGGAATATCTGTTACAAAGGGTCCAAGTTCTTGGATTGAACATTGCGATAAAATCTACAAAAGGCCGATAGTACCTTTGGGCTCAGTCCTCAAGCGTATCAGTTTGGGGGACTGATCTGCTAATTTTATTTATCTCATGCTCACCTGACTCTGAGTTCGCCCTAAACTTGAGTACGCAAAATGCGTATGGAGCCCTAGATACCAAGCAAAACATAAACAAAATTGTAATTGCACAAGTCGTGGTGCAAGATTTGTCTGTAGTGACAGACTATAATTTATTCTCGTTACAGTCATAAGATCGCCAGCCAGTCTGACAAGTGCAAAATATATGTCAGGGAAATGTTGCAATCCAGTTTTCGCCGGTTGAGTGTATTTAAACGGGGCCTCAGTGCTGTCAAATGATTCCCCTTTAGACGATTACATCACATAAATACTCGTTTTATGTTAGAACCATAGTTTCTTGAAATACATCTTCAAAAGCTTCCAATCTCGATTGAAAATTTTAGGAAAGTAGCAAGTCGTCTATTTAGTCCCTTAAAGTATTATGAATTTTTTGTATTTTGCTTTTTTGATTATTTGTGTGATGTTTTATTCATTAGTTACTACGTTATGATTTGTTCTTTGTTACACACACAGCTTGTATTGTATCTTTTGCAATCCTCTTGGTAAAAACGTACCGTCTTAAAAGTATTCTGATTAAAGTTTAAAAATTAAAGCTGTGAATAAAACTCTTGCTATATGGGACACAACTAGCTTTCGCTTATTTATTAATTTATTATCTAATTATGACCGAGCTATTGTTCTGTTTCTTTCCCCAAAGAGAATTGATAAGCTTTCAGGTCTACAAGCTCAAAAGTTCCCCGGTAATAAGTAAGAGTCCCAATAGTAAGTTTGACAGGAACTTACAATCGCTTTGCTAGCCTCCCCGGAGACGTCCGTTGGGGTTCGTTTGTCACGCATTCATTTCTCCCCCACGGACAGGGGAGAAATGAATGCGTGACAAACGAACCCCAACGGACGTCTGCGGGGAGGCTATCGCTTTGCCTGCCTTGTATTCTCGGCTTGCACTGTCACGCAATGAAAAATAAAAATGCAAACCATTCAATACAGAAGGACTAGAATCTGGGAAATGAAAAAAGATAAATATACAAAAACCCTTGCCAAGAATCAGGTCTGTGAAATATTTCAAATGCGAGATATTGGGAAAAACGGTTTACCTAAATTTATAAAGCTTTGTATGGAAACGCCATGTTGGTGTCCCTTTCAGGAACACCAATATGGCCGCCGGATACCAACAGAAACATCTGTTTTCGAGTTTTCCTACTAATGCGTGAATTCTTCGCTTGAGGAACTCATAAAGATTACAGTAATATTTATTCTGAGACAAGGAATGTTTCGATTGCAAAATCTCCCAAAATCGGTAATGTTTTTAACCCACATAGGAGCTTTCCCGGCCGCCAGCTAAATGCCGCGTCACGCAAAAGCCTAGAAATTCAAGCAGCCTCTCCCGCAAAACGAAGAACCCTTTCGAACCCAAAACTTGTTTATGTAAAGGTGTTTAGGTACTGTAATACCTCGTGAAAGTAGAAACTCAGAAGAATCGATAGTTTCTTAGTTTGATTTTTGGTGACGTCACGTGCAACCCAAGAATAACTTCTGTACCAGTGACTCTCGGCGTCATAGAGCGAAAGGGAACGATAAAAATCAGTCTCGTTGGGAGTCGCTCGGGCCGGAGTGTCGGCTGCGAAGACTACAAAATCAAACTAAAACCACAACAAATGGCCAATTAACGTTCTTTTGCCTGACCGCCCCACAAATCAAAAAGAAGATTAACTCCACTACCGCAATATTGGACAGGACGTATTCACGTGTAACAAACAGTAACAAAGTTCACAGTACGCTATTGAAGGGAAAAGAGGAATAAGCGCGCGAGAGAGCGCGATGTGCGCGCGAGGAAGGTGTTCGCGCGAATCCTCCTTTCACATTCCCTACAAACGTCTGCCAGGCAGGCGGCCGGTAGCCAATTTATTCACGAACATTTTTAACAATAATAATAATAATAATAATGACACATTTTGTATAGCGAATAATAATATAGCAGCTCTATGCACTATACACAATATTCATAGGATTATAAAAAACAAACAATGAAGAATAAAAATTAAATAAAAACTAATTCTTGAAAGTGATATTAAAAAAATATATGTTTTTAAGCTTTGACATAAAAAATTGTCAGATTGTCACTAAATCTAATGTCATCAGGTAACTGATTCCAAAGATCAGGGGTAGATATGGCGAAAGCTCCAGCACCATAGGTCTTCATGTTATAATCAGCCCATCAGCCCAGGCCAAATGCAAGGTAGAAGATGATCGAAGCATGCTTGCAAGACAATAAGGAGTAAGGAGCTCTTTAATGTAGGACGGCGATAGGTCGTGAAGGCCTTTGAAGGTTAAAAGACAAATTTTAAAATTAATGCGTTCAGCAATGGGGAGCCAATGAAGATCCTTCAATAGTGGTGTTACGTGATCGATTTTTGCTACATACGAAGATAATTGCTTATCCATGAAAATTTCATGCCACACCGTAATTATAGCCCGTTCACAGACCCTCTATTCTCTCTTTAAAGTCCGTCGAGCGCGCGTGATAAAATATAAACCACGGGCGGTTTATTGACCGCCACGGCAAGGGGGTAGAGGTGGGGCAAGAAGAAAATAGTTCTTCATTTTTCTTTCTCACGCTCCGCGTTCGTTCTCGGGCGCTCGCTTTGCTCGCGAGCTCGCCGATGTTTTTGAAAAGAACGAAAAGAAAAATAAAACAACGTCTATTTACAGGCTGTCGCAATTATTATCCTAGGTTTCACAGATTTTGTGTTCTTTTATTATTCACCGCGTCAATTTTGCGCAATTTGTATACAGTTACCATGGCAACCAATGTTTTACGCAGGCGCGGGTCAACAAATCACCCTCGTCTCTTTCAACGATTTACATTTTATTTCTTGCACAAGATCACTCCACAACTAAATGCGAATCTTTTAGCGGTGGATCGTCGGTAGAAATCTTCATGGGCTGCGGTTCGTCCACGCCTGGAGCAGTCGTAAGTTTATAAAAGTAGATATTTTTCCCACTATCGATCTCTCTATTCCGTAATGTGAAATCGTGCGTGGCAAGACGAATATTGGCCGTCTGACAGTATTGGACAAATATACAGTCTTCTATAATACGCTATGTGTGTGAAAAATCGTATTGTACCCTTCACTACACGTAGTGCTTAAACGAAAGAAAATCGGAGATCGTGGTAGATGGAAGAAAAGAAAAATCGCCTTCAAACAAATTTAATCGCTACTCTATATAACACTTTTGCTTCGTCGATTAAATCGAGGATGACATTTGAAGATTTAAAGCCAGAGAGCATGAAGGAAAAGGCTTTTCTAATATCACGTGGAAGTTTAAATATAAAAATGAAAAAAGAAAGACTGTTTGACGGAGGCTTTGGGTGCCAACAAGGTTCAGTATCGAATTTCTTGCTGTAGAGAATAAAAAATTTGCATATTATCTTGAGAGTACACAGGTGAATGCACAGGAGCAAAAATAAGAGGTTAATCAGTCTCTGCATTATCAAGAAAAATAAACGCGTAGTTAAAAGGCACCTACCCTGCGAGCAGAGGCCCTTCGATCTTCCTAGATAAGTCGGGTATCTAGGAAGATCGAAGGGCCTCTGCTCGCAGGGTAAAAGGCACCTAACGAATGTTTCCATATATGTCATAAGGTTTAGTGTCTCAAATTGTTTCCTCTATGCATTCGAAAACAGTCTGGTTAACTTAGAGCTGCCCTAAAAGTTATTTATCTATTCGGATGACTTAGGTAAACTTTGGTCGTCTCGAGAGTTTTAAGTGGCTTTTTGGTCCCATCCGAAACTGTTGGCTACCTTGATGGGCCTACCCTCCGGTCGAAAGTTCCAGGACTTGTAGCGGCCGTACTTGCATTAGAAGATTCTTGGGAACGTTTTGTCCTCATACCGAATTTTTTATGAGACCTTTTTAATATCAATAATTTCATCTTTGTAATAAAAAAAGCACAATCTCCGAAAATCGTAGGTACAAGTTATACACCGAATACCTTCAACGGTTATTCAGAATTAAAAATTTCTAGGCAATATTTGCTCCTTTGAACAGTTATTTTAAAGAAAAAAGTCCTTAGGTGCCCTTGTGAGTTGCTTTGTTTCAAAGAGGAAATCTACTTAGCTTCTATAGCTAGTTAATAGGCAATCCGCTTAAATAATCATTCTACCTGACGTGTACACAATTTTGTTCCTTTAAACTTGATCTCAAAATCTCAAAACAGTAAGCTGTTTGTGATGAATCTGAAAATCTCGTTTTTGGGAGTTTCACATGCCCAGCTGCTGAGATTTTTGAACTATTTGACTTTATGCTTTGAATTATTTAGCCACTTCTTTATAGTACATGTATCTCTTCTTTTAAATTTCCCAACCCTAAATTATAGATTGAACATCTGGACCTCCAGACTGCAAGGTTGACAAAGATGCTGACCAATGAGCCACATACCTCCCCAACCATGGTGCCAATGTCTTACATATGAACACATTAACGCTAATTTATAGATTTTGGCTTTTGTTCCAATTGATAGGTGACAACTCAACAGCCAGCAACTGTAGTAGCAGCACCTGGTCAAGCTGTTGGTAAGACAACATGTATTAATGGTCTTAAAATAAGTAATAAAATGGAAATCTTGTTGTATTATTCTCAGATGAGAAAATCAGTGAATGATTTTGCATCATTTGAGTTAAAAGAATAAGATCATGATGGTGGTTGTGACAATGAGGTAGAAAAAGATAAAGGGAGGACACAAACCAAACAGGCTGACATGACTGGAGCTTAACCTGGTTTCAGCAGTATGAGTCCAGTATGAAAAGAAAATGGTGTCTGAGCCCAGGGCTAGTGGATTTTGCTACCAGGCTAGTGAATTCTGTTCTCAACTTGCCGAGGGGCAGGTAAACTTTTTGGGGGGAATTCACTGTAATCAATCCTGCTCATCCAAAAAAATTTGGGGAGGGGGGGGGGCTATATAAAGTGACTCTTGGGCTAGTACATTCTAGCTACAGCTAGCCGGAATGGCAAGCTGTAAAACAGACTTTCTTCACACCCTGATGAGGTACCCAGGATTAATGTGACTTTCCCCTGGATAACTCTGCTTCACAGAAGTTATCTAACCTGGGTTACAGTAGAGATTCAATCAATAACCAGAAATGCATTTTGAGCTTCCCTTCAACCTATGGTACATGTAACTGGCAAATTAATAATGGCATTTTTAACAGGCCAATCATGGCACATTATCAAATGCCGGTACACAGGTGGGGGCCCAGAACAAGGATATCGGTGCTTTTTCTCTAACAGGCTAAACCAGAAGTTTGGTAATTATTGTGAGGAACAACTCCCCTAAACTGACAGACAACCAACAGTCAAGCAACGGTCGACCGACAATATGCCAGTCGATCATGTCTTAGGTGTTTCATTTTTAACAGTTTTTAGTGAGAGACTGGCCACTGAATCATGCTTTAGGTGTTTCATTCATGCAGATGTTATTGTCAGTGAGGTGTCCATAATATATGAGTAATGTGTTGCTTAATTGTCCGCCGGCAGTTGACCAACAGTTGGCGGACAGTCAGTTTAGGGGAGTTGTTCTTCACAATTACCCGAAGTTTAGTTCCGTCTGTTGCATAAGTCACCCTACTAGGCCATCACAGGGTCACCCAAAGCTGTATCATATGACTGGTGCCTTATTTTATACACCATGGTCAAGAGGGACATTACAAAGAAAAGCTTCCTGTCTGAGGAAACAATGCAGTGGCAAGCTTTGAACCCTCACTGCCAGATGTAAAGTTCAAGAAGTTTCAACCCATGGACACCACAGGCCCTTCATTTTGTAATAATGAGTTGGTTGAATGTAGAGATAGTATAAAAACTTAGTTGTTTCACACTGGATAAATTTTTCTGTTATATTTTCAGTGCAATATCCTGCAGCATATCCACAACAACGAATGATAGTAAACCAAGGGTACCCCCAACAGCGTGGGCCACCACCAGGGTACTATAATCAACGTGCTTATGCAGGACCTCCAGGATATGGGCCCCCACGGATGGTCCAGCAGCCTCAAACAGTAGTTGTTCAGAATAGAGACAATGGAGGGGATCTTCTGGTTGGAATGGCAGCTGGTGCTGTTATGGCAAATGCTTTGCATGGACATCACCACTATGGCTACGGAACTCACATCCATGTGCACGACCATGATCATTTCCATGATGGTGGAGATCACTTTCACGAGCACCATCATTATGGAGGGCCAGAGTATCATGAACATTATGGTGGCGATGGTGGAGGGTTTGATGGAGGTGGTGGGTTTGATGGAGGTGATGGGTTTGATGGTGGTGGAGGTTGCGATGACGGTGGTGGGTGTGATTAGAATAAGACGGGTATGAATATGAACCATTATATCCTCTTAACAGAAGAGTTTGGAGGGTCAACCTTCAGCAAGAGTTGAATGACTATTGTACAGTTAAATAAATGTAAAATAGAAAAATTCAATGAGTTATGATACAAGTAGGTAATCATAAGTAGGAACAAAAATAGAAATGTGTAAATAAATAATTTGTATTATAAGGTAAAAAGGTTAATTTTTTCATCAGTAACTGTCATTAGACTGACATATTGTGCTAATCCTTGCTCCTAAAAATAGGAGGGTTTCATGCATTCATACATTTACATTTCATACATCAACTTAATTTAAATCTTGTTCAAAATTTTGATGTTTGTGTCAAAGAAAAGATCTGAATATGATCCCAACTGAATACTGAAGGAGAAATAGCATTTTGACCAGACATTAGAGCCTATAATTATGTTGTTTGTGTTTCAAAACATGACTGTCTTGAGGAATTTTTTATCCCTCAAAACTTTTTTTGTTTAGAGGAATTTCTTTGTGATCACCCCCTTTATATAAAAATCACTTTGCTTTGAGCCTTACATTGCGGTTTTCAAACTAAGGCTAATTTAGTCAAACTAAGGCTAATTCAGTCTGCACTCACATTTAAAGTTACCAAAAATTGGTGTTTTTCTAGAAAGTCTTCGTATACATGTTACAGATCAAATTTAATTTCAGGCTAAAAAATTTTTAACCTACATGTAGGTTGATTCTGGATTTCCTAATTGTCATCTAGGACTATTAAAGAGACATTGCAAATTGAGAGCAAACCTAGGTTAAATCAAAATTAACCTACATGTACATTGTAAAATCAAATATTTGATATGGGTTTTGGGTGTCTACAGTAATGTACATGTATATAATTTATTAGATTGCTTGGACACAGGACACCCTGCAGGTACAGGTATCCAGTAAGATTACTTGGTTACATTTTAGTAGGTGTAATTTGTTATATTAAAGTTACCTTAACAGGGCTGTCATGAAGGGGCGGGGGCCGGGGATTTCCCCCGGCTACCATGAGCGTGATCCCCAGCTATACTTTCGTAGGAAAGTAGAAGAAAAATAGAACCAAACGAAATCTCTAGCTGTTTGGGATTCCCCGCCTAATTGTTGTATTTACCCAACAACTTGAAATCTTAGTGACAACCCTGCCTTAATTTATTTTCACAATTTATTCATAATTTTAATTTCCTTTAAGATTGTACATAATAAAAGTATGGTTCAACATCATTTAAAATTTTTTTGCTCAAGTTGAAAAATTATGAGTAGAGAACAAATTCAGCATTTTTAAAAGATTACAAATGTACCTGACACTGTTCAAGAACTTGTAACTTTATAATCTTGAGCTGAATCAAATAGAACCCACCTCTTTTCACGTTCAACATCATTCAACACAATGAATGACTTACATTTTTTGTATTTCAACATTAAACATAGCATAGCATATCATAAACATATCATGGCAGTCATCTTTACAGTTCAAAGTCGAATTATAAAAATCAGTGCCAAAAATTTTCAAACACTATTTGGAGTGTTGGTACAAAAGACAATATTGGCAGTAGCATGTTACAATTCTTCAGACTTGACTGGTTACATATTATCTGATGATTTCAGGTTAATACATAATGAGTTTTGTACGTAAATATATGAGGCCTTGTTAAGATCGGACAATTCTAAGGGAACAGACCGCAAATAATTGTTGTTGTGTGTAAAATTATCTAAATTTAAAAAGTAGTAATTTTTCATCAGTAGGATGCCTAAACTGTGTGCAATTCCACAATTGGTTTCAGCGCCATTAGATGCTACACCAACTGTAGAACATTTTGGGAGGAGCCACCCACAATGTAACTACAACAGGACCAAGGACAAGGGCAAATACAATAATATAAAATCATGATCAACAGGCACTCAGTAGATGAAAAGAAGGGTCATGTCAGTCATGGACATATCTACCGCCCCCCTCCCCCCTGGATGGGAAGGGCCTCGCTCATGCATAAGCATGCATTAGCTATCAAGGCAATAGAGTACTAAAGTGATGACGTCATAAAAATGAAATTTCTGAAATTACGGGATTTGTCAGGATATTCTGAAAGAACAATGTCCAAGAGGCCTACTTGCCAAAAATGAGCATTTTGCGGCAAATTGTCTCTGAGATCGTAGCCCAGTTATACTCAGAAAACTCCATACAAACCCTTCTAATTTTTTTTTGGGTCGACCCAAAAAAAATTTAGAAGGGTTCGTATGGAGTTTTGTAAGCATAACTGGGCTACGATCTCAGAGACAATTTGCCCCCAAATGCTCATTTTTGGCAAGTAGGCCTCTTGGACATTGTTCTTTCAGAATATCCTGACAAATCCCATAATTTCAGAAATTTCATTTTTATGACGTCACACTTTAGTACTCTATAAAAGGGCACGAGGTTCAATACTTTTCGATATCTTACTCCTTTGTCATCTGAATTTTATATACTCTAAGCCTAATATCACCGAAATAATACTAGTATTAAGCAACAAACTTGAAAGTATAAGCTTAAATACCGGTTAATTTCGACAACAATTTTCGCGAACATTCATTTTCGATTGCCGATGGAAGTGATTTTAGGTGTACAAGATTTTAAGGAAATGTTTTACATTTAAGCTTAGTAACCTGATAATAAATATAAGTTACAAATGATTATAATAAATTAAACGCACAACTAGCTAGAGGATATCAAAATAGAACGAGAACTCACCGATGAAGACCATGGTGGGACATACCCTCTTTAAATGCATAATGTTCGCACAATGTTTTATCTTTATCTCAGAGATAGACTTCAGAGCAAACTGTTTTTTCTGTTTACCGTTGAGACCGAAAAGGCATTTTTAAACTTCCAACCCAGCTTGAAACCATAACCGTGACCACACTTGTAAACTGCGCCAAAGAAATGCGCAAATGTGAAGAAATTTCCCGCCTAGGTGGCGCAAAGGATGGCGGGAAGGAAATGCCTCGTGGTCTGGGGGGTGAAGTTCTTCTTTTTTCGCTTTTGTTGTTGTTGTTATTTGTTTGTTGGTTGGTTTCTGGTTTCTATTTGTTTCTCTCCTATTGTATTTTTTCTGTGCAGTTATAATAGCTAAAGAACTGATAATAGATAAGGACAGATTGAGTGGGCTGCAGTGTAGCCTACCCCCCCCCCCCCTACCCCCCAGATTCTACACTTACACTTAAAAGTCATTGCGGATAGCTAATGGACTGCAAAACTGAGTCGTTTCTTTTTTTAATTTTCTTCAACGCGCCAAGCGCAGGCGGCTTTATTCTCACACGCGCAAATGCGCGCGAGCCCCAGACCTTTCGGTTGACTGCTAGGGTTCGGTTTTTTTTAAATTTCTCACTGGTTTTCATCGAGCCAAGCGTCGGCGGTTTTAGTCTCACACGCGCAAAGCGCACGACCCCCAGTTTCGTCCTGTGTTTGGCTGTACGAGCGTTCTCTTTTTTTTTAAATTGACTACGCAAAACGACGGACTGTTTTGCAGTCTAGTGGCACACATATTAAATGACTTTCTCAAAGAAATGCGTACGGTACGCACGTAGACATTCTGCCTCTAACCGTATAAAAAGGCTTTTCTGTCGTAACGGCTTAGCGGCATCAATCATGAAGTTAGTACTTGTCGCAAAATACACCTAAAAAGCAATGCAAGCTGAATGTTCTGCGAGACGTCCACCCTCCCTTATGTTATCATTTTATACTAGGATATTTAAGGTGTACAAGCTTCCCCCCCCCCCCCCCCCAAAAAAAATGCCCAGTTTCCCCCAAAAAAATATTGTTGTCATTACAGTACATAAGTAACTGTACCGGAAAAATCATCTGACGCGACGAGGTCAGTGCACACACTGCAACATTTCTCCCTCAAAATTGTGTCTCAAAATGCACCAGATTACATCTCAGGGCATATTCATTTCAAAAACGTTCCGGATGGGTATGCCCCCGGACCCCGCTAGGAAGCTCGTGGCCTTTAGCCACTCAGGACTTCTCCCCCAAACGATAAATCCTAGATAGAACCCTGCCAGGAGCCTATATCTTCAATGCAGTATTTCTCAACCTACTCAACCTCGTTTTATAGGATTTGGGGGGTTTGGCGGTAAACGGGCTTTTCTGCGCGTGTGACAAAAGCAGAAAAAACAGAGCATTTTGTCTACGTGGGCAATTTTACTGTTTTTTATCGACCCTTCATATTTACCATTTCCCCCTCTGCTTCGTCTCTAATTATTATTATTATTATTATTATTATTATTATTATTATTATTATTATTATTATTATTATTATTATTATTATTATTATTATTATTATTATGGCAGTAAAAACGTCTGGATGCCCAGAGTAAAAAGTAAAAGCTTAGGCTGGGCGTCAAACCGTAACCAGCCGCAGCATCGACTAAAATTTATGGTAACAATTACACAATTATTTGCGCAAAAATAAATAAATAAATAAATAAATAAAAACCTGGGTAAAAATGATTTGATAAGAGTGTCATAAAAATTGAATAAATAAATAAACGAAAACCTAAAAGCTTTATGGACGTCTTAATTACAAAATGAAAATGTTCGTAAGTTGAAACCCATCGTTCAAAAGACATATAGCTGTCCATTTAATTATGGGAACGTCTAAGGTATGTAAATAAAATTTCGATAATGTACAAGACTAAGTATCTGTTAAATAGGTGTCCAAAATTCCTGTAGACATCTAAGCGCTCAGCTTGAACATTCTAGCAATGTGTAATGAACTAGACAGGATTTCCTTTTGCATTTGGCGCATGATTGATTCACACTTGTCTCCTACAAGCTCTTTAATATTTTTCTCAACCTCTTTCGAACAGTCCCCTTCCTGTAGGTACTACTACAATATGACTAACTGGAACATGAGTCCTATAACCAAGCAGTCGAGATCAGAGTCAACTGACATGAAGCAACAGAAGAGCCTTAGAAATCTCAGAGATAAAAGGTCGGTACC